TACTGACTGACATAGAGCACTAAGTTACGTCCACGTTGGTCGATCGAATGTCGGGAAGCGACTAGTGGAAACAGATCGTGTAGAGATAAAATTTAATTCCAAAGGCATGATAGCAATTGTTTCTATCGTTCTTGTCTGTTCCATTGTGAAGCACGCCTGTGTTCTACTTATCAGGTCTCAAGTTCCAGTTCCCACAAGGGGTCTATTTAAATAAAACAAATCACACAATATGAGGAGAATTTTTAATGGTCATCCATTTCACATGCTCTTAAGCAGCTGTTCACACGCATTAAATAGGTTGAATTGTTAGAAGATGGAATTCATGTATGGACATGACATTATGGTGGTTCAAACGCAAATGTTTAGTTGTTGCTTCATGATGAAAAACATCGGAGTTGAGTGGACATTCGGGGGGTGGTGTTATTATTATTATTAAGAGCCAGAATAAAAGATGTGGGCTTGGGAACAGTTACGTAATGAAAATCGGTTAAGTGTGAACGAATAAAGTGAAAGTATGTGACGCAATCCCAGGCGAGAGGGCTGTTCATCTAGGTCAAATCAGATACAAAATTGGTCAATCAAGTGCATCAGAAGAATTACGTAATATGGAAAATGAGAAAGATTTTCAATGATGGAGAAGGTTTCAATTGCTGTAAGTGCAGTGAAAAAGATGAATGCAGCTGGAGATGAATGCACTGTTCTGTTTGCCTATGTTTAACCGAGTTAATGAATTGATGGTCCTTTGAACCATGATCAACTTCGCGACATGATAATTAGACTCGCGTGAAGTACGGAACGACAATCAACCCATGCAATAGCATTCTCTCCTCATTGAAAGAAAACGGTTTTTTTCGATCGTTGGATATTTTGGCCCGGGGCACGGCAGCTCACTTTTTTGAACTTTGAATTATTCAGGTGCCAAACTCTGTGAGACAGGGTTCTTATCTACACTTTTTTATAGCGTGGGAGACTAAAACTTTGGAGCTGTAATTACTGTCCTGTGCATGCACAATTGAGATGAATTGACTTCCAGAGTGTAAAATTGTTCTTTCTAGGAATGACCGTGAGCCACTGCTTTCACATTCGAACGTCAACTTGATATTCCGGTGCATCCCGTTCAATTTGTTGAATAAAATCTTGGCATCCGTTTCGTTTGTAGTTATGACTAATGTGTAGTCGACATAACAGGGTACCGTGGGTTTGAGCTCGTGTTGTTCTCAAGGTTTGATATAGGTATATCATCTAATATTATTCTACGCAGGCTTCCCGTAGCCAATCCGTCTTGATTTACCGCAATTATGTGAATGTCCATATATGGATTCCATCTTCTGGCATTACAACCTATTTACTGTGCATGGACAGCCGATTGAGAGCACGCGAAATCGATGGTCAGTTTCAATTCTGCCCATGTCGTGTTACTTATTTTGTTCAACTTGCGTGATTCTTCCCGTGTACTACTTCATCACTGATACCTCCGTAGGGAGAGAAGGGATTTGCACCCTAAAAGTTGTCTTTTGTGGGCTCCTTCACAAGCTTTTGTTTAATATACAACATCACAGCTTCTTTGTTCTAGCAACGATTTGCTCATTTGTTTACTAAGTGCAAATGCTTTTTCATATAATGCTGAATTGTTAAGTGTTGTGTTAATAAAAGTGTAATCAGATGATGTTCATTTTTAATCCCAATCTCTCGATTGACCTTTATTTGATTGTGTTTGTATTCTAATCAAAATATTTCATTAATTGGTTTGTGTAGTTTAACACTCGTTCTTAGTGACTAGTTGAATTATTTTATACCGGTCGGCTTTCAGGAAATTTCCCAACATTAGCGCACCTACTGCAGAACGGAATCAAAAACACGATTATTTGTGCAGCACCGTGATGCACTTCACCAAACCAATAGAGTAAAACTCATCGAACTCAATAGAGAATGGATTCGTGTCTTCTTGTGGTGTATCAAATGTGTTCAACTCAAGCATCACGTGATACAGTCAGGTGATTGATTGTACAACAAGTTCGGTGAATTGCGATCACGACAGGTTGAGAATTGAAAAAATGATCACATTTCGAGTTGTTGTTGTTGGTGGTGTTGTTCACCAAGTTCGTTCACACGATGTCAGATTATACACCCACCGAATGGACTCGGCAAGCATTTTGAATGAGGCAGCACACGAACGTCCGACGAGACGATCACAGTGCGAGAATTTGGCGTCGCTTGGAATTGGGTGAACTGTGAGGGATTCTTATCTCTCACCTGCTGATCCACGCGTTTTTCTGAAGAGGGATTTTTTGTGCTGCTCTATTACCTAAATATTGGATGTGTGGCTAAGATCTCCCAGATAGAAAGCTGAAACACCATAATGTATGGATAAGTTATCCCCCTCCAAACCCTACCGTAAAATTGGCTGTGTTCGTTCCGTTTCCGTGTTTCACTCCCCACCCCCAAATACTTTACTGTTCTCGCATCCTTTCGTTTGTCCAGTATTGCTTTACTTGGACCTGGGTATTCACTTAGATATACTTTCCGGTCTTTTTTTCTGCAGGCCGCGCAGAATATTTCCGAATACGGGCAACGTTTAGATCGACTCTGTCGCGATATTGCTAACCTCTGTCCCGATTCAGCCAGTCGACGCGATCTGTTGGCCTATCTACAACGTGTCACCCTCCACTGTCACCAGTTGAATATCACCAGTCGGGTCAAAGCCGGAGTGCAGGCTGCACGAAGCGAAGTGGTCAGTTGTTGAACATTGCCAATTTGAAGGACCCCTTGTCTGACTATTGACTAACTATCAGTAGTCTCAATGAGAATATGAAGTTGTTTGATATCTTCACATTCACGGTTATGTCAATCCGATTTTCAGAATAGAAAAGCGGCAAATATCCCGTATCGTGCTATACCTAAACACACGTAAGAAAAAATGAGCTCACGCTTCATATGATACTAGGCATCAGCTCAGGGAGCCGAAACATTTTCGCAAATCAATCCAGTATTCAAAGCTGTGTAAAAAACAAGAAAGAATGGAGATTTCGCACCTTGTCATTCTATTAAGTACATGCCCTGGAATCCCTCAAGGTATTTTAACTTTTTAATCATATCAGCGTGCAATGAACAGCAGAAGGGATACACTTCATAATCTCTAAGACAGACTGTTCACTCCTGACAATCGGTATTCTAATCCCCGGGACATGGAGTGGCGGACCACATGGGGCCCGATTAAGGTGGACGGTGGTGAAGTTGAGTTGTGGTGTCGGGTTTCGAATCTTCAACTTAGGTTTCTAAACCACGCGGGTTAAAGTAACCGTCGCACCCATTGGTGATTTTTTTTGAATGGAAACAAACACCTAAAAGTAAAGGACCGGTTGAATCACTGTATCATTCTCGTTGCTATCTAGATGTCTAAATTTAATATTTTAACCAAATCACACTTCATCCTGCACTTTTCATACTTGCTTATTTCAATCTTTTATTCGAAATTAATTAATTGTACGGAGCACTTCAAAAACTGCTTCTCTACTTTTGAACCAGCGGAGCTTTGAACTTGTCGTTTACTCGCTTTGAAATGACTCTTTCTGCTTAGACCACCTTTGTACCCAATGCCAAATAAACCACCCCACATCGATATCCCAATGTTAGGTATATATGCACATTCCTCTTCGGATAAACGTCGTACTTTTAAATCATAATTTTTTAAGTTAGCCTTTATCGGGTTTTCAGGTACGCTCATTGTTTACTTGAGCGCATTTTCACTCCGCGTCTAACTCTTCCTCCCCGACCTCTTGGATTTTGAGAAAATTTTGCGTCGCCGTGTCAGTAATATCAACAGAACACTTTACGAAACCAGGCGGCACTTTTGATTTCCAGCATTGGGATTGTGGGCGTTTATCAACGAAGCACTCCACACATACATATTTTACCACACAAACCTCGTGCGGTAGTTCACATCAATATCATTCGTGAAATTTTATAAATACTACCCATTCATCGTGCACTGGTTGTCAAATATCCAACAACATTTTCCCAGCTCGGACGTGTCGTATTGCGCCGTCAAAGCGTACGGACTACTTGTAACTTATTGTTCACATTGGCTTTTCATACTTTGTTAGCTGTAACTTGCGGAAATCTCTCGTGGTGCAAAAGTGCTTTAATCAGTTAATTGCACATTCTTCTAATCCGTTCCACTTGTGAAAATAATTTATTTCATACAAATGTCATTGAACCGAATCGATTCTGCCTATGTTGACGGCAATATGGCTTAAGTGGCTGTGGCTTGCTCTGGGTCTCACGTTCGAACCCAACCACTACCGCTGAAATCTAGTAGTAGTTAGCTTCGCAATCGCCCCGTCCAAAACTACATCGATCCCAAGTCCCCGATTCATCATTATCGAATATCAGGTCCATATGAGGTTTACTTGCTGTACCGGTCATCACAATTGACTGCGATAAACTGTGAGCCCAAATGGATCGTAACGAAAATAGCAATTCGTGACTTGTTTGTAAGTGCCATAATGCCACTGCACTAAAGCCAAAACCAGCATCTCACAACCAGAACTAGCATAAATCTGACGTCGTGCGTATCTTGTCATGTCACTCTTAAAATGCTATTGACACATCCCATCACTCAACCGGTCTAGTGACGGCTTCTACCAAAGAGGTCCCAGAAACACTTGGTACCTCAATTATCACTAGGTTTGATATCAGATTTTCCAGCTCCTCTATGTCGGCCGCATAGCTGTCCACGTTTC